TTATGACGTCATGAAATGCTTTACAATATCTATGGTTGGTATGCACTGGGGAATACGCAGTGCACCAAGTGGATATGATAACCGATAAAGATAATAAATAATAATAATAATAATAATAAAATGCTCTCTTACTTCTTAGGACTATAGAGTACAGGACGTTTTTGAAATGTAGTAAAAAATGACGATTGTTAATTTTTTTTTTAAATTACATAATAACATTACTTTAAAAAACAAATTATTGTCTTAAATCATTAGACGTGAATTAACAACATAAAATGACTCGACCATTTGAATTGAATTGGTCCGTAGTTAACACTGCTAACAGGTCGATTTGCGCGGAAAATAAAGCAACATTCTAAACGTGTGTTTACTTGATGTGTTTATTATTTTCATTTCTTTTTTAATAATATTTACCTTATTCAAATATGTCATTAAACGAGTGGACCGTGTAATGGAAGAGCGACTTGCAATGAAGAAAAAACCATCGCCGAGCCAAAGCTCGAATTATTCCATGAGGCGTCTGCCTCACGACCGTCACTGACAAAACCATGTTCATTCGTTTAGCATGTTGCCGTCTATTGAGACACCGAAAGTTGATCTACATTTCTATATTCATTTCATTTCTACTGTCCTTTGTTTACGTAGTTGTTCTACCACACATCTTTACGATCCTCCAGAAACCTTCTAAAATTCAAGAAGTCTGTCAGTATGTTATTCCTAAAGACAGTCCGACAGTTCCAACAAACTCTCGATGCACATTCTACGATTGTTTCAATATATACAGGTGCGGCCATAAATTTAATGGCGATTTTAAAGTTTATGTTTATCCGATGGCCAGACATGTTGACGAGGATTTCATACCCATTGGGGGTAAAACGTCCAAAGAATATCACACTATATTGAGTGCAATAGTAGAGAGCCAGTACTATACGACAAATCCAGAAGAAGCGTGTGTTTTTGTGTCATCAATTGATACATTAAATCAAAACCGATTTCGAGTGAAAGAAACATCACAGGCTCTCGCATTATTACCACAGTAAGTTAGATCTATAATAACAAATAACAATGGAATAACTATCTAACTAACTTCTTTATATTATTTAGTTGGAATGATGGACAGAACCATTTAATATTTAATATGGTGCCAGGAACAGCACCAGACTATAAAACTGTAGTCGATTTATCAATTGGTAAATCAATGGTTGCTGGTGCAGGTTTTGATTCTTGGACGTATAGATCATCTTTTGATATTTCAATAGCAATTTACAGCAATTTAGCAATTTCTTTAAGTAATAACTATACCTTTAAACACAGGTAAACAATTTAATTTATTGTAATAAATGCAATTAGCTATTTAGATTTTTAATATTTTTCAGGGCAACATTCATCAGCACAGTTCAAACAAATCTTCATAATGATTTCATCACTTCTTTGAAATCAATTGAAAAACAAAAGTCAACGACTCAAAACATAACAATGTCAATGATTAGAGTTATAGAACCTTGCTCACATAGTGGACACGACAGAACAATAATTTGCCATGAAAACATTACTTATAACTATGCAGACATACTTGCCGTAAGTATAAATTAGTTAAACTTATGTAATGTATGAAAATAAATATATTAACTAATGTTGTTGTTATTTTTTTTTCATTTTTGTGTTATTTACTTCAGGACAGTGTATTTTGTTTGATATTGCCTGGCCCGCGGCTAATGGATATAGTTTTCATTGATGCATTGGCGGCTGGATGTATACCAATAGTAGCTATTAATCATGTTGTATTACCATTTTTTGAAGTTATAGACTGGAAAAGGTTTGAATTTTCTGTTGTACTTATATTATTTAAAAAAAAAACTAAAGTTGTCATTTTTATTTGATAGAGCTGTAATTATGTGGAGTGAAACTGAATTAAATACTTTACTAGACGTAGTTTCTGGTATTCCTTTGGACCGACGGAAAGAAATGTCAGCTCAAGGCCGTTGGCTATATCAGACATATTTATCTTCGTTGAAAATAATTACCATGACTACTCTTAAGATATTAAGCCAAAGACTGCATCCACATAGCTCAGATTTTTATGAAAATTGGAATTTAAGACCACATCCTGTAAGTTTGCACTAATAATTTAATATGTATCAGTAGTTTTTCATGGTTGATTTATTTAGGTATCTGCCAGAAATCCATTATTCCTACCATATATGTCAGATTCTTCAGGATTCACAGCGATAATATTATCCTACGATAGAATAGATAGTTTGTTTACACTAATAAATATGATCAGTAAGGCCCCAAGTCTGCAAAAGATTATTGTTGTTTGGAATAATCAATTAAAATCTCCACCACCTTGTAAGTATTTCTAGTTTCAATAAATTAAAAAAAGTGTTCTATAAACAGTTTACTGAATAAAGTTTCAGTGTGGCCAAAAATTGATGTATCTCTAAAAGTTGTACAAACAACAGCAAACAAACTTTCAAATCGATTTTTCCCCTACAGAGAAATTGAAACAGAAGCAGTTTTATCTCTGGACGATGATATACTTATGTTGACTTTAGATGAAATTGAATTTGGATTTCAGGTAAATGCTTATTTTAAACTCAAGTAAAACTTAAATTTTTAATGCTTGTTGTCTTTAGGTTTGGAAAGAATTTCCTGATCATATCGTAGGTTTTCCGTCCAGAACTCATATATGGAATAACAAAACTAATACTTGGAAATATGAATCGGAATGGAAAAATGAAATATCTATGGTGTTGACCGGGGCAGCATTTTACCATAAAGTAAGAACATTTATTATTCATAAAAAAATAATAAACTTTTTCAATAAACATAATTCTGAATTTTATACATTCATAAATAGTATTGGAATCAAGCTTATACATTTATCATGCCTAATAATATCAAACAATGGGTAGATGAACATATGAACTGTGAAGACATTGCGATGAACTTTTTAGTGTCCAACACTACAAACAAAGCTCCAATTAAAGTAATTTTTACATGATATAAATTATTTTTTCTTTCTATATTTCAAATGCTCAACTTTTCAATAGATAACTCCTAAAAAGAAGTTTAAGTGTCCTCAATGTACAAACACTGAAATGTTATCAGCTGACCAAGGACACATGGCTACAAGAACATCATGTGTGAACATGTTTACCGCTATTTATGGTAGAATGCCGCTAAAGACTGTAGAGTATAGAGTTGATCCTGTTCTGTACAGAGATATATTTCCGACAAAATTGAAGAGGTATAACAATGTTGGAGAATTGTGATCATATTGTGCTATATTTACTTATATGAAGACTTATGATCAAAACCTGTGACATTCATAATTTTAAGTTTTTTATATTTTCTTCATTTTTCTTCATCAGCATTTTAAAGCCAATCTGTAATGTATTAAGTGCTTATTATAATACTTTGTTCAAAATAAAAAACGCATACAGTGGTCGACTTTTGCTCAAGGGTGTGGCAATACTTCACGGCAGGTATATATATTTGTGACTGTGGGGATGACATACGAGTGTTAATTGTTTGCCACAAAAAAAAGCTGGTCGCCCCCGTATGCGTTTCTTATTTTGAGCAGACTATTGTATAATTATTAATAAATTCAATTGATCAGTAATAGATATTATTTTAAATGAGTAATTGAATTTATTTGAATTATATATATTTTTGTGTTTTAATTTTAATGAGCTTAGCATTTATAGACTTATGTTACCATTAAGTTTTTATTTTATTGATATTCACACATTTTTTTTATTTAAAAGAAATAAGTAGCCTTAGTCTCTTCATTGGTTGTGTCATTGAAATAATTTACTTGTTACTTTTTTTTAATGTTTTTGGTGTGTATATGTTTTTTTTTTGTATATCATTGTAAGTCCTGCCTCAATTATTCAGCCATCACTAGATTGTTTTCCTATTTTATACATGTTATTTAGATAATTAATTGTTTTAATTAGTTCTTAAAGAACTGTGTTATTTTTAATAAGCATAAATATGCAATTATGTATGAATTGAATGAGAACAATTTATGTAATAAATAATATAATACAATAATTAAAAAATTGCCATTCCATGTAAAGATTGTAAACTATCACAAACTTGAAAAAGTGTACTTGTACAGGTTTAAAATATTTATAATTAGGCTATTATTGTTTTAAAAATGTTTTATTTATGTTTAAGATTATATTGTTGAATATTTTGTAAACAAGACTAAAGATTGGCCATAAGATATACATTATAATATATTTTAGCAAACAATTTAAGTTAATAGTTCAAACAGAATGCAATTGTTTTTTGTCTTATTGAATTATCTACAATAATTTAATTTATGTGTCTGTATTAATTATTAGTCAATATTTTCCAAAAATTATAAATTATTATAATATTATTAATTTACAATCCAGGAATAGACTATAATAGAAATTAAATAACAGTTTGACTAAACCAATCGTATTAATAGTTGAGTGAGATAGTAAAGACTCAAATAAAAAGTCAGCCACTAGTCTTGTGTATTAAAAGTAGTTGTCACTTGTCTTTCATAACAATTTTAGTTGTACTGCATTCCTCACTACTACTTACCAAATAGGTATTATGCAACAAACATAATATTTTAGTTAGATCATTAATCAATTATTTAACAACATCATTAAAAAATATTAAATAAAAGTAAATACCTAGGTCCTAGTTGCATTAACAAAATATTGTATCAGGTAACTATATCCATACTTATGCAATATTGTATTTTTTGTTTCAATTGTCAAGTCCTTTTACTGTTTTGCTGCAACTATTAATTATAAAAATAGGTTAGGTTATGTTTTTTTTATAGTTACTTTTAAACTATCACTATATGCATGTACATTGTGCAGTATGTATAGACAGTGGCGTATCCAGGGGGGTTAGGGGGTTGTAACCCCCCCCCCGAAAATTGTTAAATTATAACAACGTTATCATTAATAAATCATTTTAAGATAAAATTCCACAAAAATAAATTATAACCCCTCCCGAAAAAAAATTCTGGATACGCTACTGTGTATAGACTATATTACTATAATAATATTATCTTCTCAAGACTCGACAATCTAATGATTATACTTTAATATCCTTGTTTAATACTTAAATTATAATACCTAAACGTAGGTTACCTATCTGCATATTATAATCACATAATTTATGTAGTTATAAAAATCAAGTTTTTTAATCAGTGACTGTATGTCTATGTAGGTACATTGTGGTATATGTTATATTATTATAATATGTATACACATTTCATATTTCATAAGTACTTCCGGCCGTGAATTCCATAGAGCTTAGATAAAATATTATCTGCAACTCGCCGATCGAATTACCTACTAAAAGATTATTTTGGATTGAATAATCAATGATGATGTAGAAACTAGAAGTTATGAAAATGCTGATAAGTTTGTCTTATTTTTCTGCCTATTATTATTAATTCGAGTATAGTTATAACTTATAAGTAGGTACCTATATTCGTATATCATAAATCATTTAATTTATTTAAATTTTTTATTACGTTTTCTGTGAGTATATATCTGTTTAGGCATATTTTATTGTTTTGGGCATTTATAGAGTTACCTATATATGGCTATATGGTTATATGAATCAGAAAATTCATTTAATATGCGATTTATTTACTATATCTAACTAAGTAGTAAGTACCCTTGTAGGTTAATAACTACTATACCCGCAGCGGAATAAGAAGATTTATACTGGTCGCGCAGGCAAAACAACTTCCTCCACCGCACCGCTTGTCCTTGCGACCACTTCCGGGGGTTTCAGGGAACCAATCAAAAACCGGCTGTGCGAAACGTAGGTACGCAAAAACGGTAGTCATCTAACATCTTCTTCCGCGGCGGGTGTAGGCATAGCTTATCCTCTGAGTTCTGACATCCTCTGATCCATCACATCGGACACTGCTGAGCACACCTCGTTCCAATGTCCGAGATGGGACGCAGTGAGGGCTGATGTACACGACGTGCATTGGACGTTCTTTGATAGCTGACGATATGCCATATTTTACTCTGCTGATCTGTGTTTTCGGACCTTCCCCCGGACATGATCTAGAGGGCTACGACCCTTCAAGATGCCGAAGAATCCTATATAGAGTCTTCTATAAGCTGGTAGAGGACATCTTGTCCTTCAAGGAGGATGACGATAGCGCGAGAGGCAACTCCAATTTATAATAATCTAGCATGGAACTAAGCTATAAGTAAAGCAAATAATTAAAAACCGGCCAAGTACGAGTCGGACTCTCGCACGAAGGGTTCCGTACCATCATCAGCTATAAACATGTTGGGAACACTGCTTATATTATATATTCTGGGATGTTTAGTATTTTTTGTTATAGCGGCAACAGAAATACATAATCTGTAAACATTTCAACTTTCTAACTTTCATGGTTCATGAGATACAGCTTGGTGACAGACGGGCGGACGGACAGCGGAGCCTTAGTTTTACCGTACGGAACCCTAAAAACTATAGTAAAATGTGTATGTGCTGATAATTTCTCATCTTTAGTGACTTGCTATATTCAGTTCAACAAGATATATATTATTGAAGTATAAGTTTTTTTTAAAGTTTAGTTAGAGTAATACCTATAGGTACCTTTATTTTTTAATTTTAAATAGTAATTTATATCTTAAAGGTTGCTGGAGTAAAACACAAAATCACATTAAAAAAGGCGCTGTTCCTTTAATTTTTCCTGAGTCTAAAACACAAAAAAGTGATGGCATACTACTTAGTATTCCAGAATGTGATATTAATAATAATACTGAACCATTTCGAAAGAAGTTATTTATAGAAAACGTGTCTAAATTAGTATTACAGTTAACTTTAAAGTTTACTTATAACTTTTTAGCAAAAAATAATATCTCCTATACGGGCATACGGCTATAGGTATCTACTACATAGGTATATCCTTTCTTAATTTTTGTGTTATAGGTATTTTTTATAACAGAGTTAAAGTAAGTTAAAGTAAGTTAATAGAGAAATATAAATTTCTAGATCATTAGGTACCTATATAAATAATCAAAGATATGAATTTACTGGAGAATCATTTAATAAAAAAATACGCAAACCACCTATTGAGGTAACATAAATATAATTATAGGTAATATATTACCTTTATTTGGTATTTACCTATAGTTATTATCCTGTATTTATCAATACCATTTAAAATTAAGATTAGTAATTTTAAAATTATTGTTTAAATTACATAATATTAGTCCTATCGGCTATAATTATTTTGTACCTAGGAAATAACAGACTGACGAATTGATTTAACTACTTAAACGATTTAATAACAATAAAATACTTTTGACAGAAAGATGGACATTTATATTTGTTTAAATAAAATTACATTTTATAAAGAAATATAAAAATGACAAATTGTGAATTGAAAAATAGATAGGTACCTACTATTTAAAAGAACGTTTCTATGTGTTTTGACATAAAAATGAATACAAAAATCTTGGTAAGCCCCCTCAAACTTAGCCGTAGAACCCCCCCCCCCCACCCAAAACCTATAGGACATACAATTTTAATATGCTATATTGCAATGGTCTGCTTGCCTTTAATATATTCAGCCCCCCCCCCCCAAAGCCAAAAGTTGAAATTGCGCCTATGGTCTTGGAGATGTCCAACTAGGAAATTAAGCAGCTGCGAGGGCCGCCATTTCTTCAAGCACGAGTTAGTGTTAAAAATTATTCGGCGGCGTTAGATGGCGCTGCCGTTATCGAAATTATTTAAATCTAAATAATAATACCAGTCAATGCCGTTTGCAGCGTTAGGTTAGATTAAACCTCACTAAACCTCACTAAACCTCATTAAACCTCACCAAACCTCACCAAACCTCACTAAACCTAACGAAACCCAACTAGACTCTCGGTACTAGTGTACGACCGAACAACAACGGCGTGCATAGGACTATCTATAATTCAGAACCCCCTTTTATACTTCTCTTCTACAATATATTGATAATAGGTGTTTTTATTCTTATAATTCTTTTATATATTTTGAGCTGTTTATGGACATTTTCAGTTTCCAATGTTTTTAGTTTTTTATTCTATAAATATCAATAATATTTTATTTGTTGGGTAATAAAGCTTGACAGTTTAATAGAAGGCTCATATTGATATTGTTTCAAAGACAGATGAAAAATATTAAAAATCCTAAACACAATCCCTTATGTTTGTTCAACATAAGTTGGTTGTTCTGTAACCAAAAAATCTCAAAAATATAAAAATACCGTTTT